CCAGCCCACCATCCCCCCCCTCCCCATTCTGTCCTTGATCAGTGATGCCCGGCCACTATTCCACCTGTTTCTACTACCCTTTTCTACATAAATAAATAAAAATCCAACTTAGTAACAACACTAAGGCTAACCCCTCATCTCTCTACTGCCCATTATCTGCCTATACCATTCTTTTTACTGTTAGTTGCAACCTAGTACCTCTTAACCCCAAAAATTAAGTGATTCCTGTACACCACAAACTTATCTAAAAGGTTTGCGGAAAATAACCACGTTGAATTATTGATTTTATACTCAAGAAATAATATTCCACACCCCGAAGTGCGCGCTTTTTGGCAGATTTTTCATTCCTGCCTACTGCTACTACTACTACTACTTTTTTGGGTAGCAAATGAGGCAAGAGGCCATCGTAGGCCTATTTATGTTTTACAAAAAAACGTAATACTCCTTTGTTGGCGGGAGATATTGCAACCATGGTGATGCTGATGGTCGTTTTATAAGCCACAATTAGCTGAATGCGAGCAGGTTACAAAAGATAATTCAAATAATGAAATTCAAGCCCACCAGAAGAGCTACTTTAAAATGAAGTGGTGTGTCGCAGAATATCTGCGAACGCATCCTACTGTTAACTACCATGCCCACAAAATGAAATTTAAACATAGTCAACTATCCTAATGTGAATTTAACTAAATGTTTTGTTTGAAATTTGTAAATGTCTTAGTTTCGATGTGAATAGAACATATTGGTCTTTGGCAGAAGAATAGTCATACAGTGGTGAGGAACAAACCGAAAGTAAAAGTGAATATGTACTTTTACAAATCTGGGAATCCCAGTGTAGAAGTGATAGGAATTAACAGCCTAGCTGTTTAAGTGTGGTAAATAATTAGGTTGATGGAATTCTAGTTTCTCACCATTGGGGTGCACGATAGACTTACCTCCACGTGGTGCACCCTGGGCAACGCATATTCATACGCAAAAAGCTCCATTAACCGGCAGTTGACTCCTGACTTCAAACTGCCATGACCTCACTGTATGCCGTGTCCGACCCCTTTCACAGTGCTCGTCTTACCTTTTTCTCTACCCTTGTGTCTGTCTGCCTCTTTTACATCTGTGAATCGCTCTTCTGTTCTCCACCCCTCGCCTTTCTTCTCCTTCGATATTCCTTCCCCCTATGAAGCCCGAAGTCAGTTAAATGGCTAATGATAGTTATCAAAACGCCTGCCATTTGAAATAAATGAATTAATTAATTAATAGCAGTTCATTAGCTGTCTTCTGGCTGACGAGTATCACTGGCCTGAAGAGTAAGGTTAGGCATTTTAAGGTGGAGTTTTCACATTCTGGGAGGTGTATTTTAGCGATGCATGTGTGAATTGATGAAACAGTAAAGTTCACGTCATCTGAGCTCAATTTTTATCATCTCAAATGCTTTCTTCTGCTTCAATTTGGATCTCAGTCATTAATTACTTTCTTCTTCATATGTGATTTCGCAGCCAGTTATTAGTGCTACTCGTTGGTTGGATAAAGGAGCTTGTAATGACTTTGCTCTCAACGACCCAGAAGGCCTTCACGTATAAAATGTCACTTTCACGTGCCCCCTTCAGTTGCGACTGCCGTTCTATAAAATCATTTTTAGGATTTATTCCTCGACTTTCGACTTATCTACCGCCCAAAATATATTAATCACTCACTTGAAATTGTCTTAATCAATTTTTTTATGTCCCCAATTTCGGCAGGCCTAACTTGATTATCGTTTTGGCAGATATGTTATGGCTTCTACACAATGGTTCGAAATTTTAAATCCGATTTTCTAAGATCAAGATGGCTTGAACTAGCAAGAAATGAGTGGCGAATAACCCGGAAAATTTGTTGAAGCTTTTTGCGGTGAAGAACTGTTTGAGTGACACCGAAAAGAAGAGGGAGAGAGAGGTTGTGGCGCATTAATCGACAATGGAAATGTACTTTTATCATATGCGTCCATTTCCTCCGAAAAAACACCTACAAACTTTTATCACTGTATTGGTTTTTTTGCCAGAATGAAATTGGCAAAGAGCTTCTGCATACAGTTCAAGGTAAATGGAACAATAGAATGGCTAAAAATTAAATTTTAGGTAATACACACAAAGTTGCTCATAATTGCGAAAACTTTACTATCTATGAAACAATGCCTTTTGGCTAAATTGGTGAACATTAAATAGAGACACCGTAAACCATTAGTTGTTTTGCAATTTTCGAACATACTTCAACCTTTGGTGGTCCAATATTACCTTGGAACAAAATTAAAGGGTATTTTAGAAAAATGCTTTCCTGGGGAGGTCCAGCCTTTGAAGCTGCCTTGTCGAATACTTTCATTCAAAAATCACAAATGAACGACAGGTGGGGCAAAACAGAAGCTTTCATTTTATTAGAAATATCCACTTTATATAAAACTGCATGACCTTTTACCATCAATAGTATTAAGTAATTGAATAAACTCGGCAAAAAGAGTTAATTGGTTTTTAAATGAAAGCCAATCAAATAATTATTGATCGGACCAATTAACTGTAAATAGGCTTGCCAGCCAATGGAATTTGAAAGGTATCCAATAAGTAATTAATTATTCTGTGTATTCAAAGTAGCTTTTTATGACCTATACCCCGCTTTGGGTAGGAAAGGTGATTTATCTGATGTGAACGATTAATTTCGGCTTTATGCAAGAAATGGGCGAATATTACATGAACTACAGACAACAATGCCATAATTACTGCAATAAGGCCTTGAATCTGATATTGATGTCACTCAAATAAATATATTATCTAAATAAAAGGCAGTTTGCAGTTTGCTTTCTCTTCATAATTTTAGTCCAAATCCGACAGGAATTGCCAAAATTAATATCTATTCACCCCAGCGGTAAATCTAAAAATAGCTATATAGTAAGAGCCCTATTATTTATGGCATAGGGTGTGCGATAGACTTACCTCCTCGTGGTGCACCCTGGGCAACATATACTCATACGCGGAATAGCCTATTAACTGGCAGTTGACTTCTCACTTCAAACTACCGTGACCCCACTGTATGTCATATTCGACTACTTTCACAGTTTTCATTTTACCTTTTTCTCTACCTTTGTGCCTGTCTCTTCTACATCTCTGAAACACTCTTCTGTTCCTCCCCCCCCCCACTCTCGACTTTTTTCACTTTGATGTTCCTTCCCCTCTGTGAAGCTTGAAGTCAACTAAAGGGCTAATGATAACTATCAAAACGCCTGCCATTTGATATAAATAAATAAGTTTCTAACCAATATAGGTGTCATTAAATGCGTTGCCAAACGGGGTTGACAGTAAACAATTTTTCTGAAATTTTACACGATTTTAGGGTTGGCAAGTTGAAGTTAATTGGGAAAAGATAGTTGGTATCCATAAAAATAAATAAATAAATAGTGCGCATTTTTCATGATGAAAAATAAAACGCCTGTATACAATGAACGGCTAATCAGCTCTATGAGTAATATGCAAAATTATCGATCCAAAAGAGTCACTACTCAAATTCTGCATTTCTGAAATTTTATATAAAACATGCAATTCGATATTCGATACTCCTGCATTTAATATTGCAAATGGCCTATTTCTGAACAAAAAAAATAACTTTTTCGCAAAGTTCAAGAGCCTTATAAATTAATAAGACAAATTGATTGGTTAGTCGGGTCATCTTGACTACAAAGAGAGAATAAAACAGAAGAGAAAAGAGTACGACACAATAGAACTATCTACCAGTTCACTATTCTAAAAGGTGCTACAGCCAACAAGAGCTTTCATATCCAAATTTCTATCTATTCAAGGTTTAGACGAGGGATTAAAATCCCCAAAATTTGGAATTTCATTCTCAATATTGACATCATTTTCAAATGCCCATCAAAAAAATTTTAGTCATAGTTGCTACAATGGCGTTGGAATTATATAAAATATACTCTATTTAAAGTGGAAATGTTACTATTGAGGAGGTAATTTCTGCGATAACTGAACTGCTGTTTATGTCAACGTTTTCTTGCTCTTCGTCATCAGACTTTGGATAACTACAGCTGTATGAAAATAGACAGAAATTCAAATGCCAGCCTCTTTTGGGAGGATCTGCCACAGAGAAAGTTCAAATATCTAATCAAACAACCCAGCCATCTCGATAAATCGAAAGCAACAGGACAACCCTACTGAAGTGACAAGATAGTGAATTGCTCGAGATTCCCACAATGAGAAGTAGTATGAAACAACAAGGAATCACGACTTGCCATCTTCGTTTCGCGGCTCACTACCCGAACTTCACGAAATCCGGAGCCTCCACAGACAACAGCGTGACTAGGCAGCAAGCGAGCAGCATAGAGGTATTCACCACTCGCTCCATCTCCACAGAGAAGCTCCTTTGAATTCCCCACTGGAATGGTTTCAGCTGGGCACATGTAGGCATGCTTATTGAGTGTGTTAAGTATATCTTCGTCACCTTCCACCTTTTGATCTCTTTTTTTCGAGTAGAGACTGCGCAGATCCCAAATCTATATTTAACAGGTAGGTACACGGTTCAAGTAATCCACAATTCCAAAAAATGTTGAAGCAAAATCTTAAAATTCATACTCCATTACTACTTCATTATAAAACCTCATGTTCTAATCATCCAGCACTACAGCTTTCCCTTTTCAACTTTAATGCTCAAACTCTTGATCTTGAAAATTGGGGAGATTTTGTGGTCCCCTGTTGGTATTTTGAAGGATTATTCATTTTATAAGGAACTTTCTAAGCGAAGTTTACTCGTAGTAATAAATTGGTTTTTTCCTAGTAGATTTAGAGCGGCCTTAACTTGAACTGAACTGCTAAGACCTTGACTACGGTTTTACGTCTAAATGCGCCATTAGTCATCACTCCTCCTGTGAATCACAGTTGAAATAAGAAATTATCAATTGGAGCAATTTCTTCCGTAGTTTATTAACTCCGCCAAATGGAAAGAATCAATTGATGCGAGTTTTAAAGATAAGATTTGGCCAGAAAGATGAAGAGTTTTCACTGTGTGATTCAAAAAAGAGGCTTCAATACCTGCTCCGTTTCATTATTCTAAGTGGTCTCGAACTTAAAGCTCGAACAAAGGAGAAACAGTGGACAGTGGCACTCTCCGACATACCCGACTGGCCAAGAGTCGAAGTCGTTGCTGAGTTTCGACTACGTACCAGACACGATTGCTTGGCAAAACACCTTCACAGATTGGGAGTATACACTCAACCCACATGCCCTCTATGTAACCTACAGAAGGCAATGGAGAAGACTCACCTGATTCGGTGTCCAGCCCTAAAGACAACGACGGAAATCCAGAGATACTGGGAAGCAAGAAGACGGCTAATGAACTGCTATTAATTAACTGCTATATATGTACCCCTCC